CATCATAATTAATCTAATTAAAATCATTTACACACGTCGCTTAATTATCAATGCAATATACTAACTAATGAATACCACCCAGTCTGAATCTTATTATCATTAATTCAAGCTAATAAATGTCGTTTTCTCTGTGTATTTTAATTTGCTTTGATTAATTCGATCTGCATTAAAAATTAGTGCGGATCGGAGACGGTGGTTTAATGCATATCTCCAATGTGAACTGCAGAAAAAATTTATATGTTTCTATATGGGCCGATGGCCGATGGTTTATTTTTATAAAACATTAAAGCGCCGTAATAAACATAAATCCAATTTAAACCGTGCGCATTAGATATTTTCCGGTTGCAGAAACTGCACGAACATTAAATTATAATTGCCACTCGGCTCAGGTGCAGTGCAAAACTATTCCAATCCACCTACCAACTAATTCTACCGCATCGTAAAAACTTAAAAAACGAATTACAAAACATCGGATTAAAGGATTCACATTCTGAATATAGTTTTTTCAATTAGTGATTATAGAATCTAATCTAATAACAAAACTTCTTGTACAAAGTTACTTGGCAATTGGAGTAATTGGTCATTTTATTATTAAAACTTACTATTTCATTTAATAAATTTCTATTAATTCAACATTATGCAATAACATTTCAACGAAATTATTTCAACTCTCATTCTGTTAGATAATTAGAGGAATTGTATTAACAGATGAACTTCTAGTTTTCACTTAGCAAAAACTTATAAGAATCTATTGTACGTTGCGGACAAAGAGGGGCCTCGTCTGCAAAGTTTCGCGAAGATAAGTGCATATTGTCAATTTCCAATTCAATTGCATCGTGATATCATTAATATCGCGTTCTCTCCAAATGCAAAATGTTGATAACTAATTGCGAAGAACAGAAGCCTTTCCCACTGCACGCGAATCGTGGGGGGTAAATACAGCACATCCATCATGCAGACTAAGAATGTTCATCTCTCATTCTCTCTTTCGGTTCCTCCACCAGAGGCATAAATTAGAACGCGCAGCGATTTATCTCCACAATTCCATTCGAGGCGAAAGCTTCGGAAATTGTTTAATTACGAGACGGGACGCGTTTTCCATATACGGTTTTCGATGTATTCAATTAAGATTACAAAAACAAAAAAAATTAAAACACCATTAATTTACTGCCGCGGATAACACAATGACGCTATTGGAATTTCAGTTATTTACATCTAATTAGACGTTCATGCGTGTTTCGCCATCACCCTATTTCCTTCCCTATACATGATACATGATTTCATCGGGACAGGAGAACGTTAATGAGCTTTGGCGGAGGCCCTTTTGTCTTCGCGAGCTTCGGCAGTCTATTATGGTCCGATTATCGCAGACCAAAACGGACGTTAATCATTGCTCATTATCGTGTCCCAGACGCAATATCGCGCTGCACTTTGCAGCCCTAATCAATATGTTAACGTACAACAAATAGGATAGGGTCCGAATCCGAAGATTCCATTTCATTTTTCCGATTGTTCCTGCCGCTATTTCCATTTAGATCGAACGCAAACAACGGGCAAACCGGGAAATTTTGTTGCGAGCGTGCAAATAGCACCGGTTATTTATCTTGCGGATTTCCGGAAAAGCCTCCAACCCCCCTCACTCTTAGGCCGACCGCAAAATACGGATCATAAGGCAAATAGAATTTGCCGTCATTCCGTATCCCCAAATATTTAACTTTCGACGTTTCATCATCATGATCAAAATAATAAAAACTATTCAAATTTGTTTAAAACGTTGTAACTTGAACTCAAAGTATCTACAATATATTCATATAACTCAACTCAATCAATATAACTCAATATTGAAGTTTTAAGTAACGCAAAGCCTGCGAAATGTTGGTAATCTCGTATCAAATGGATGCACTTCTTGGAAACGCATTTGTCACGCACAATCCGTGCGGCGACCAATTGATAAAAGGATTATCAGCTATTAGTGTGCGCGCACGTTGGGAATAGACAGATTACAACGAGCGAAAACAACCCTCCTAATCCCAATTACAAGCGCGACACCGAAATCCCCTCGCAAAATTCGAATTAAACGAATAATAAAAAAAAAGATTCTCTTTATTTTACGGTTTGGAATTGGCGGCATTCCATTTTCAGGCGATATTAAATGCGATATTATATATCGAATTCCCTCCGGTTTTGGCGGAATTCCATATTTCCAATTCGGAAAACAAAAAAAAAATAATGAGCGACCGCTTCGTCGATTTCAAATATCGCGCTAATTGCAATCATCGACAATTCATTTTTAATTCCTTCAAATTAATAACACCGCCAATTTATATCGTGAAAAAAAATCTAATAATTTTAAAAATTAACAAATTCAATAATTGATTTGCAATAATTTCAATGTAGCAAATATTTAGATATTAGATAACAATTCACTATAGTAATTAATGAATGAATCAGAAAATACACCTTAAATTAAGTGAAAGTTTAAATTAATTTATAAATTTAAAGAAATCGTCTTTAAATTATGTATAAAAAATGATTGATCTTTACGAATTCACAAGAAAATTTAATATAAAATCCATCGAGTTTAATAAATGTATTTCAAACTGTTTTAGCTGGGAAATGTGTTAAAGAATCTAACATTAATTTCATTGGATCGATACAAGGGAGAGCGGGCATTCTCGTTGTTTTTTTTTCGGTTTATTGAAACACATTGAAGAGAAAGATTTGCGCAATTAAATTTAATGCACGGCGGTTGCTTGCAAAAAGCACTCAGGTCTGGGGCTATTGTTAGGGCATTATTTAATGGAAGGACGTAATGGCAGGGCTTTCCTCCTATTTTCGTATAAGATTAATCTTATCCACGATCGCACACTATAAGGTGGCAACAATAACAATATAGAAATAAAAGGACGTTGAATAGTTATCATCAAATCGGTATATTTCAACTTCATTTACAGTTCACCCATCCAAATATTAACTGGGGGATGCAGGTTGTTTAACTTTAGTTGAGCTATAATTAATCAAAGTTGTCGAGTGAGAATGCATACCTAACATGTATCAAATTTCGCTTAAGATAATTGATGATTAAATCGCACCGCGATCAATTAATCAAGTATAGTTTAGCATAAATCTTGTTTACTTAAAAAAGAAAACCTCAATTTTACTGTTGGTGTGGGGGGGGGGATGGAGGCAATTAATTACAATATAAACGCTTTTGTGTGTGGCACCCTTCTTCCATCCATCCATCCCTTTTTTGAAATTATGCAGATAGATGTTTATGCAGACGCTAATAAATTGCCAGCCATTAGGCCCGCTTTACTTGTTGGATTTCCAAAAAGGGATGGGATTTTGAATGGGACGAGATCGTAAAAAGCACGCAGCATCCCCTCGCGTCATGCAGTTAGGTAACAAAAGTAACAGAGAGAGAGATTGAAGTTATTTTCTATTACGCAGAATATACAACCCTCCCTCTTTGTGTCTATGTTATCTGGCACATCGCATCAAAGCACAGCTGCTGTTTACGCCTTTTTTACCACTCATTTCCTTGACAAATACGCGTGGAATTGGATGAGGGGGAGGAGGAAGAGAATGCGAGACGGACCGGATTCCTCTATAGCCAACATGTATTGCTCCCTGTAGTGCTAGGGTGGATATGCAGCCATAAGAAAGTGGGGCCATTTATTAGTGCCCGAATAAAGGGTGCATTTTTCTACAAGGATCAAAGAACCTTTTTTTTTTTCATTAAAACAACATGCCTACATGTGCACACAACTCCATATATTAATTAAGACTTCTAAATTAAACATTTCAACTGAATGAACTATCCACAATCATGCATTGCTTAACTCTCTCAAGATATCAATCTCAAAGTAAACTGTTAAACAAATTTCCATTTTTATTTAAATATTATATAAACAGTTCAGAAACGAATGCAAATATCGTCCCACTGTTAAAACTGATTAATATCGAAACGGTAGTTGTTTATGTTCAAGTTATAATTATTATTATAATAATAATAATAAAGTGTGGTCGAAATAAATTTGCATTTGAATCGACACAAATCGTTCTGTTCTGGTCGTATAATAAACGCATTTCCGGTGCGATCCGGGATGGGTGAAGGCTATTATTATTATTATTTCTTTCGCACTGCACTCCGTATTTCCATCCAATGCGTTCGAGATAAGAACCAGAATTTCAATGGGAAAGGAAACGGAAACGAAGAAGATGAAGTCGGGAACGTCGGAGATGATGATGATGATCATCATCATCTTCGTCGAAGCCCAGAAGGCGTATGGATAATTCACAAAGCAAACTTGATTTTGCATTTTAAAAGCACATTGTGTAACCGTTATGGTTTCCCGCTGCGCGCCCGTACTGCAATACCAATTATTCTATGTAATTGCAATGTAAATAGCATTATTTTCAATGGCTTCGTATTACTCAATAATTCTTCCTTGTAGCAAGTACGTAATATTATGTATAGACAGATTTAGTTGTTCAAATATATTACTTAATAGTATAATTCATCAATGCTTTGTCCTAGTTTCAAATATAAGAAAAAAAAAAACAAAATAATCAATAACATGAAAACAATTGAAATTAATTTATCTGTAAATTACTTAATTTTCAAATATTACATTAGTAATACATAAAATCAAAATCCTTATTTCATGTTTAAAATTTAAAGAGAAAATCCTTATGAAATTTCACTAACATACATACCGGTATATGCAACTTTTATAGCACATGAAATGAAGTTTCATTAACTTCATGTTTTGTTATAATTTATAGTCAATATTGTTGTTGGTACATTTAATTCGCTATTAAAAGGTTTTGTTCTTATATCGATTTCTAATGTTTAGTGTGTTGTATTATAGGCAACCAAACCAGCACGCGTTTACTATTCAAATCCATATGCTCACGTTTCTCATAAAGTGGAAACTGTTATTACGACAATTTACATTCACTTTTATATATGTAAACAATTGAAATTTATCACTCACCTGAGCTACGTTTTCGAAATGCTCGTGACTCTTCTGGTAGACCCGGGCCTTCTGGAGGTTGCGTCCGATGCCGGTGTTCTTCCTAATGAAAACCTCCCCGTGATTGGATAACCAGTCGAGTACCTGAAGACGACGACGACGACAACAACAACAAAAAAGAGCAGTTATACACGAAGAGCGAAGCGAATAGATTTCGAAAGATAGATAGATACCTGCTTAACATCCTCTTGGAACAATCTTAAAGCTAATCTTTGATGGAGCTTGATTTTCTTCGCATGCCACTTCTGCTCGAGCGCCCGATGATGGTTCAGTATTTGGTGGATCACAGCCAAAACGTGACTAGCCCCTTCGCTGTAATCCGCCGCCGGATTACCGCCCGGCCTATTCTCATAATTACTACCGTCACCCTACCAAATAAACAATTAAGCTTCTGTCCATAAACAATTTCAATTTGTTGGGGGAAAACGAATTATTATCAAATTTTCTGACTCAAACATTTAGTAACAAACAAATAAAATAGTATTAATATAAATAAATTAATGGAATATAAAGAAAGAGCTCTGGTTATTTTGGACGTGGTTAAAGTAAATAAGTTGTGAGTGTGTGTATGTGTGTGTATGAGGGGAAATAATTACATGTTTCCGTTCAGTTCCTGGCTGATTGCAGACTTGCACCAAGTGGTCTAATTGATAAAGTAACTTCTTGCTTGTACTATGAACCTGTTACCAAAAACAAAACCAACACCAAATTCGTAATTAGACAATTATTATATAAGAACGACAGTCGTACAACAATTATTAAGATCTCGATACATAAAAAAAAGAGAGAAAACATGTTAAAATGAGGGAAAATGTGTTCAGGCACCAACCAAGACGTGATTTATTTTGTTTGCTGCTCTTGTAAATTCATGCTCGTTTACTAATTTTCTTTTCGGATTTCAACATCACCACTACTCCATAAATATTAGAAAAAAATAACTACTGATTACTAAACATTCTACTAAATCAGATTCATTGATTAAAATACATCTTTGAATCAATGTTAAGAAACTTTGTCTTTAATATTTGTATCAATAATTTGAAGATATCAGATGTAAATATTAGAATCTTCAAAAGTGTAATTGAATTCAAGATTCAAAAAGCTTCTTCAAATAAATATGAAATGAAGAGTGGAAGTGGACCAAATCAAATTAAAATTTCCCGTATCGGTTCGAACTTCGCGCGATGTAATAAACAAGAATTTGCAATTCAATTGCGTTCGGCTGCAAATTTCGTTGAAATAATAAAAATAATAATAATACGTGCACGCGGGGCAATTGCAGCATATCTCGCGTTCTGCAATAAATAATAAATGTGGCACACGTAAATAAATAATATATTTCCGTAGTAACGTTATTTAATGAATATGCAAATTGCGAATTTCCACTGCCCCGCCCGATTGAAACGCTCTCATTACAGACACATTTATCACGTACAATATTCATCATCATCATCAGTCGCGAACATCGCATTACTAATTATTACAGGAGAGAGAGAGGAGACACAACATCAAAGCAAAACGCGCTCCTCCTCTACACTTTTATTTACTTTTTTTCGGGTTTCTCCGTATTCCCTTACCCACATCACACACGCATACATTCATATTCATACATATTCTTTGATCACATTTTCGACCCTCCCCCCAAAAATCGAATTATAATCGTAGACGGGGAATTAATCAAAGCGGATGCACATACACACATAAAGTAACGCGCGCGCGCGGAGAAACCTATTAGTAATAAAACATCCTTCCAATATGCAACGGAGCATCACTAAAGCACTTACAGTAATAACGAACGCGATTACACCTCAAGACGCCCGTCCTGATAAACGCTGTCCGTTCAACCCTTGCGATACGAAGCTCACAATTTATAATAATCTCAAACCTGTTTAGATTGTACGGATTCTAATTATGCGTTATGAATGAGTGATTCGCAAGAAACTGGAAGTTTAGTTAAGATTCGAACTGATCATAACGTCGATTTGGGTTTAGAAGTTTCATGAAATTGAAAATGTGTTACTGTTGACGATGAATCTGATCGAGTAGTGTTTGATTTTAATCGGTTATGATGATAAAAAAGTAGTAAACGAGGAAATATGTTAAGATTAGTTTAGTCAGGTGATTCTTAAAGTACTCTGGGTCTCCACCTTGTTATCAATGTTACGAGGGTTGAGACGCATAGGTTAAGAAGCACCGGTGTAGAAGATCCAACGAACCCGACCCCGAAAAGAAAAGAGAAAAGCTGGAATAGAATGAAAACTGTGTATATCATACATTGGCGAGAATGCTCCTATCAGAACCATCGTTTTTAGATTCTGGCAAATTATGGCACACCTGAAGCATCACATCTAATCCGTTTAAAAGTGATTGATACGAGTTATAAACCTACATTAGATGGAAATGTTTAAATAAACAAAACAAACAAAAATATATGAAATGTAGTAAAACTGCGTCCGTTTCGTCGGTTTGGAATTACCTCCGTGTAGGCCTGGCACATCGACTCGTAGAGGTTCTGATGTTGGTGTATCGAATTTTCAAGAAGCAGTATTTCGGTGGGGATGTTTCCGTTCTCGCAGGCTCCGTTCCAAGCGGACACGTTGTCCACGTACTGTTCCGCTTTGTGATGGAATATGACGCTCAAGGAGAGGACTGCGTTGCGTTCGTCCAGTCCTGCGGCAAAGTCCTTCCACGTCCTGTCCAAACGTCCGGCAACTGATCTGATGTGAGCACCGGCATAATGACCGCCCTCGATCAATCTCGATGCCACCGACAGAATTCTATTGATGTTCACGTACACGTTCATCGAGCTCATCGTGAAATGTTGGTGCTCTTCCTGCAGCTGCTTCGCCAGCTGATAGGTGTGTCCTATTTCCACGTAATTCAGTAGGAATACGTCGCGATTGTGCCAGATCCATTCGAACATCTAAAACGAAATCGTCGATTAATTAATAAAAAAAAAAACTTGCGTACTATGCAAACCTTTTCGCAATCCTGCTCGAAGAGCCTCAGCTGGAAGCACTGATCGAGCTTGATCTTTTTATGGTGCCACAGCTGCAGCAGGTTCTGATTGGAGGTGTGGACGGCGTCCAGGTTGTTCAGCACCAACGTCTTGATGTCGCTGTCCGTGGCGCTGGTGCACGGCATGTCGGGGCCACCTCCTACTCCACCACCACCACCACCGCCTCCGACGCCGCCTCCGCCCTGGCCCGTATCGTTGCCGCAAACTTTCTGCAGGAGTCTTCGGCCTGCGATGAAACGGAAATGAGAGAAGAAACAACGAAAAAAACAAAGCAAACGTTGAAAACAATTAATCGATTAGACAATAGGACCCAACGTGGCCGGAATGATGAAAACCCTTCGGCGCATTCAACTTCAACCGTTACGTCTAGACGCGAACACAAAATAAATGTTTTTGCTCGTGCCTCATAAAAGAACGGATGTTGAAATTATCCAATTTAAGAATATGCAATCTATCGAATTATTTCGCATTCCATCTGAATACACATGGTTAACTTAAATTCAAAAGAAAATTAAGTGGTTTTTTTTAAATTTAAAATGTAATGGATAATGTTCATTTAAAATAAAGCTCGAAAAATCAGTGTTTTGCACATTTCATTGATTTTCTCAATAACTATAATAGATAGACTGAATCTAAAAGACGCTTATGAAAGCTGAATCTTTGGGGAATCTAGCAAGTATCGATATATTACTGTGGTTTTAGCCGTTTGGCTGTAATTCGTGTTCAAAGTTTAAAAAAATGACTCGAAAGAATTATGTTCAAGATAAAGTTCACAGTGTTTTACATTTCATTGATTTTCTCGAAAACTATAATAGATAGAATGTAATCCAAAAGATGCATATGAAAGCTGAATGTTTGGGGAATGTAGCAAGTATTTCTCTGAAATTATAATAGATAGAATTGATCCAAAAGTTGGATATTTTAGAAATGCAACCTATATTCAGTTATTACTGTGGATTCATTAATTTGGCTGTAATTATGACTTGGATGTTTGGGTAATTCAACGGGTATTCAATTCTTGCTGTGGTTTTATCCTTTTGGTGCTAATTCGACAATGAAAAATTAGTTATTACTGTGGTTTTATCCGTTTGGCTGTAATTCGTGTTCAAATTTAAAAAATGCTCGAAAAAGCAGTGTTTTTACATTTCTTTGATTTTCATCGAAAACTATAATAGATAGAATGAATCCAAAAGATGCATATGAAAGCTGAATGTTTGGGGAA